AAACTATGTTACTAAGTTACACTAAATAAACGGGGAATATGTGTCAGATTTTTACCAACAGGAGTCCCAGTTGATCTTGAGAAGCACCTATGGTGTTTCTGTATTTAATAGCCAGAATTAGTTGGTTTGCAACAGAGAAAATTACTATAGATACAAAAAGTAAACAAAATATTTTTAAAAAGATTTAAGAAATTGAAGAAATTGATTAAATGTCTCTCTGCCTATTGTTTTAAAAATTATACATTGCCACAATCCTGTGATAGTTTTAAGAGAAAATAAAGGCAAGATGTCCCTTTTATCTGTGTTTTCTCTCATCACACAAACTGCACTCCCACAAAAGAGCAAAATTATTTTAAAACAGTTATTAAACTACAGTCTGGGAAAGTGAAAAGATTGAATGGCTACTTATGAAAATAAAAGGATATCAAAGAAAGGAATAACTTAGTTTGCACATACTCAATTTGAATGGCTTTTTCGATATTTGTAGTGGAATGAATGCTCAAGTTCCATTGAGATGCATAGCTTGAAGATTAAATCTTCCGTGTGACATTTATAGTTGAAACTTTAGAAAATACCTAGATCACAAGGATGACCTCTTTTTATATAGCATTTGCTCCCTGATGGGGGATGAAGAAACCACAGATACCTGCTTGCATCCATGTATGCACACAATGTGTAGAGATACTAACTCTTATCAGTGCCTTAATTTTTGACATTTTAGCCTACAGAACTGTGAAAAAATAGTATTGTGCTGTGTAGCACCCTGACATTAGTAAGATAACACACAAATGAAGCAATTGAGTAGGCAGTTGTGTGCAACTTTAGTGGACATATATGGGCTATAAATACAAATTTGAAGTGAGAATTTAAAACTTCAAGATTAGATCAGATTGATAGTTACAGGCAATGAAATTGGCAATAAAAATGGGGGGGTGGAAATAGTGAAGAATAAAAATATTAACAAGGAAGAATAGTAAATGATACAGCATCGTGTTATGGAATACGTCAAGGCTAAGGAATCTTAAGAAAATGGTCTGGAAATAACAATGAGGAACAAGAAGGCTACTTTGAAGCTGTAACACAATTATGCTCGTGGAGAGCTTGATTTTGTTTGCTTATGATAGAAAATTAGTTCCATAAAGTGTAGAGTTTGAATTATCCTTCTTAGTTTCTTTTCTCTGGTTGCTGACACAAGATACCCAGCACCCCAAGTTAAGGAAAGAGAGGTTTATTTAACTTACAATTTGTGGAGGTCTCAGTCCATAATCAGCTGGCTCGAAGACAGGGTGGTGTGAAAGTGGGGCTGTTGTTCATGGCAACAGAAAACAGCAAAAGAAATCAAGGGAAGAAGGGGAGAGAAGCCTCTTTCTGTCCCTTATAGTGAATGCAAGAAAACCTCCCTAAGATGGGTGTGGCACTCATAACCATAATCCTAGGGTTGGACCATGAATCCCTCACAACCTCTAGAGTCAGCCACTTCTGAAAAGCCTATTGTCCTATGACCACATGAAGCTTTCAGGAAAAATCTAGACACAAACTATAAAAAACTTCTGTATTTGTAGTTTTCACATTTTGGCAGATCCTTAATTTCTTAATCTTTTTATCCATCCAAAACTAGGAATGGTAGTTATCACCAGACAAAATTATTTTTAGATGGGGTACATATATTAGGTGGGGTACATTTAATGTCTACTGTATTTCAAAGAACAAAAACTGTAAGTATCATAACTTGAATGGGTTATTTTTAATGTTTCTGTTACTTTTAAATATATATTTTGATTGTTCTTTCAATCTTTTATAAAACGAGAATTTTCCATTTCATAGTGAATTTAATTTATTATTGGCCCCACATTAGCAATGTTGTACAACTAAGTCTTTTGAAATTAGATTTATCACAGACTGTTCCTAGATTTGTCCAAAGTCACAATGCTTTTCTTTTTAGGCTTTGCTGACAGAAATTTCCCTGGTTAAGAAAAGTAAATACTACTCCTTGTAACCACTACTTACTGCTAAATAAACATAAGCTTGTTTTTAAGCATTTTTCATTTCAAACACAGTCAGCAGAGACTCTGCTGTGCTTTTGTAGCCTAAAGCATTTTGTTTGGCTTCCCAGGCAAGAGATCATTAATAAATACCAATACTGGAGGAGAAGAGGTGTTTGGAGAGTAGCAGCCTTCTCATGTGCTATTTTCAACATTCTTAGATCTTGAGTGTAACACAGGCAGGAGAGGGATCAGCGGAGATCACCAGACTTGTGTAGAGGCAGCGTGGCCTGGAGCCCAGCTAAGATTCCTGCTGAGAGTAGTGTTCTGCTGACAGGCAGGTGTGGGGCTGGGAGAGTCAAGTCCAATTCAAGGCTTAAATACAGCACATATATATTTTGTCCTTGTAAATTAGGTGTATTTCAAAACCTCAAATCTGCATTCAAAAACTCAGATATATATTGCATATTTCTGGATACTGAATAAGCTGAATTTTTTTTTACTTAAACATTATTCAATAGGAAATTTTGTATAAGAACCAGGAATGACAAAATAATAGTACTTAACAGAAAGAGAATGTGTCTTTATTCACACTGAATCTATTTCATAAGTATTATATTTAATTTTGAAAATGGACACTTTAAAAGCAGGAGTGTACACACATACATGCATTCACATTTGAAAAAAAATTACTGTCCTGAGATAAAAGTTTCATTGTTTGTTCTCAGGTAGTTTAATAACATAAATCAGAACTTGTTTGCCTAAGTGATAGAGGAAAAGATCATCTAAATGCACTGATTTTTTATCTCTTCTAGAAGCCCTAAGGGCTGGTACTTTGTCGTAATGTCCTTTGAAATTTGGAGAATCATTCTATGTGCATAAAATGCTCTCTACCAGATGGTATTTGATGGCTGTGTTCATCTTCAAAATGAACAGAGTATTAGTTTAAGAAAGATTTGTTTTCTTTTCAAACATTCCTTTATTTCAGTGTCTTAAGAAATTTCTTTGCTAAAATAAAGACCTGCACGTTTCTATTGGTTCTGAACAATTGATGATTCAAATTCAAATACATTAAGTAATGTGGAAGTAGAAACCATGGTTAGTAGCTTTGATTTTTAAAAGGTATTATTTATTCTTTAGCTAATTCTTTGATTTATAAAGTTATTATTTATTCTAGTGTTATCTTAAACATATTATTAAAGGTACATTATGAAACCAATGGGTAAAATCCTTTACTTGCTAAGTAAGCAAAGAAAGCCTTATTTAGTATTAGATATGCTTCAGTAACCTGTACTGACCTCCTTGCTAGGCCTCAGGCTCACTCTGTGGGGGTCTCTACCTCATGAACTTCTCACCAGCTGTGCACTCCGGCTTGACTGTTCTTCACCACATGACATGCAATCAGCTTTTTCAAGAAATGCCAAGTAGTCACATTTAAGGAAGTATAAAAAAATATAAATATATATGAAAAATTATATTTCAATTAAATCTGTTTATTATTTTCCCCCACTACAATTTAAGCTGTACCAGGGCAAGATTTTTGTGCATTCTCTTCACTGCTGCAGCTTCACTGTTAAACACAGTGTAAGGATTCAAAAACCATTTATTAAACTAAAAAATAGTATTATTATAATGTTCTTCATGTTGCAGTCAAGTAGTGTATCAGTCAGTTTCCCAGTGTTGGCATCACATACCTAACATACACAAATTAAATGAGACAAAATTTTATTTTGCTTCACAGTTTTAGAATTTTCAGTTTCTGGTCAGCTGGTTTCATGGTTTTGCAGAGTCATGGGGGAGCAAAGGTGCTCAATCCATGGCAGCCAGAGAAAAACAAGCAGACAGACACACAGACAGAAAGACAGAGACAAGAAACAGAGACAGACGGAGTGAGAGACCCAGAACTTGGTAACCCATGCCCTGAAACTGGAGTCCACCCCAAACGAGGTATTCAGCTATAAATAAGCATCAGTGAATTCATCTGTTGATGAAAATAGAGGTCCTATAACCCTGTCATGATTTAAGACTCCAGCATCTAAAAAGGTGCTCCTTTTAGAGTCCTGGAAGATCCACACCGTAACAGGTGAATTGATGGTTCATCCAGGCTTGAAGCCCCAGCCCCTGGCTCCTGAAACTTCTAGCACTTTCTGTGTAAATCCCAATAAGGAAAATTTCCACCACACTTTTTCCAAAACACGAAGACAAGCTCAGATTTGACTTTTATCAAAAATATTGAGAATTTTTTTCATCACAGAGGTTTCTGTTATATTATGGGAAATACTGAATAACATTATATTTTCCAAAATGAAACAAGAAAAAAGAATGAAATAAATACTATTATCTGTAGCTTAAAAAAATGGATCTTCCAATTCATTAAATTGTAAAGAATGCTAATGAAATGCTAGCAAAAAACAATCATATTCCCTAGGGCCCTCTGTTTGAAAAGCAGAATAAAGGCTCATATACCTTCAAACTGTATCCTCTAGTCATGCAGCTGTCCTGTATTAGGCCTCTGTGAATGTAGATTGCCTTGTACTTGATTTGTGATACATATTGGTGACTGTGTTGACAGAGCTGTTTTCAATGTTACTGTACATGTTTTTTCATTTATTTACATTGTTACAAATTGTAAAAAGAAACTACTCATGTGAAATAGAATTATTAAGCTACTTACATTAAATTACTTGAGAAAACAGAAAAAATAACTGAATTTTTCAATCACTTATGTGTACTTTCAGAAGTATTAAATTCTTTATTTCTCATCTTAACATTAGACCTTATTTTATTTTATGTTTTGAGACAGGGTCTCACTGTTTTATGTTGATTGCCTTGAACTCACTTTGTAGTCTAGGCTGGCCTCGAAGTCACTGTAATCCTCCTGCCTTGGCCTCCCAAATTCTGAGATAACAGGCATGTACCACCATGCCCAATTTAATCTGAATTAAGAATATCAGATATACTACACTATTATTTTCACATGTTTATAAGTTCTTTGATAATTATGTTTTCTCTCTGAAGGCAACAGATCGAGAGGGAGACCCAATAACATACGCCATTGAGAATGGGGATCCTCAGCGAGTTTTTAATCTTTCAGAAACGTAAGTTAAAAATTAAATGATATATACATTGATTTTCCTCTTTCGTTATGTAAAACAATGTACTGTTAACAAGATGACAGACTTCTAATCAGATGATTTCAGCTGTTTGTAGTTTTATTATACTTTTTTCCCTGTGAATACTAATGAGATCTGGGAGAATAATTCTGAACCCAGAAGTCTTGCTCATGAGACTATTTATTTATTTTAAGCATTTTTACTAAGTAAAATCCACTGAGGTGGAAACGTTTTATTTGGAGATATAACCTGGGATCAATTACACACCTTTAAAGTTGTCAGCCAGTTGTAATGACAAGGACATTTCAAGAATAACACAGCACTAAACTACTCATTCAAAGGGAATGTTGTAGGACTAAGTGTGTTACAGACAAATTTGAGATGAAACTAAATGTCATCCTTCAATTCTGATTAATGTAAATAAAAATGTACAGATGATAAAAATGTTTTAAATTAATGCCTATGCTAAATCAGTAGTTATTACATGATACTTAATTGTAGCTTTGATTTGCATGTCTTTGATGAATACTGAGTATTTTGAATGTCTTTTTATGTGCTTTTGGTGAGTTCTGTATCATCTTTGTAAAAAGTCTATTCATGCCTTCTGTTTATTTTTTAATCAAGTTGTATTTGGTTATTGAAAATTTCCATTCTTGATTCTGGAAATGAGATGATTATTGGATATATGATTTGCAAATATTTTTTTCCTGCTCTGTATGTTTTATACTTTCTTGATAGCATCCTTAATGGCACAAAATTATAACTTTTATATGAATATATACACAATTTTATATGATTATATGTATATTATACAATTTTATATTATAACTTTTATATGAATATATATACAATTTCTCTTGCTTCTTTTTGCTTTTTGATACTATATATTAAAAAATCCTTTGGCAAATCAGATGTCACTGCTATGTTTCCATCTAAGAAATATTTTTGGTCGTTGTTTCATTTCTTTGATTTTGGTTGTTGATCTCTTTTCACTTAATATCTGTATATCTTATGATATATGAATATATTCTGTAAATTCTAACATTGTTTTGTATGTCAGTTGACATTCAGAAGTCATGGTACAAGTTATAAGGAATATTCTTTTCCTGCCGAATACTTTTGACATCTCTGTTGAAAATCAATTGATCATAGATGTATGGGTATATTTTTAACTCTCTACTAACTGTTACCTACTCCACAGTGTATTATTGAATGCCCTAGTTTCCCAAGAAATTCTCTTTCCAGACTTTTATACTAAGATCTGACACGCAATTATATGCTGTAACTTTAATCTTTTGCCTCAAGTGACTATGACTTGTTTCTCTTAACATTTCTGCCTTGAATAAATCAGCTCTAAGCTCAATGAAAGAAAGCGAATTGTTAGGTTATTTCTTTAGATAGTGAAGGCATGTTAGATTAGAGCATAACAATTTTTGTAAATAAATACAGTTCCGTCTTTTTCAGAAAATGGACAAAGTACCATACACTGAATACTGACTACTGTTTTTTAAGAAGTGATTAGACAAAGCAAATAAAAATGCCACAGAGATTTTCTCCCACTTTAAGTGGACCTTTTCTTCATTCTGAGTTTTAGTTTCTATAGACTTTTGACTGTTTTTCAGAGTTCCACCAAATTTTGCCAAAGTTACCTGCTTTATTTTGATTTTTTTTTTTTTGTGGTGACACTATCTCTACGAGGTACTTCTCCACATTCATGATATCCTTCCTGTGTTGTAAAATGTTTTCAGTACTGTTATTGATATTTCTTCAGAAATGAGGCTATATATTGTTAATAGGAAAACTTGAAATATTTGTTGCATCCCTAAATACAACCTAGTGCACTTGGTCTAATAACCCCCAAATGCTTGGAAGTAAGAATTCTGGCAGATTATTTCAGGAATTTCTTAAAAGGATGGTCATTTTTGCTCATAAAGTATCTCTTCAGTTATGAATACTCAAGTCACTACAAATTTTTTTTCTAACTCTGGGGTATCATTTACCTACTCAACTGCCTACAACATTGAGTTCAGAAAATAAGTAACATTTTGAGCAATAAACTGTCTCAACTCTAACCAACAGAGCATGAAAAATTAGCTGCTCATAGAAACTATGAACCTAAATAGAATTTCTGTATGAATGACTAATAATTTTCTAGTTTATAAGAAAGGAGGAATATAATAATAAATACTATAGATATTAAACAGAAAAAGAGAAGGAAATGATAATTTTTTTCTTTCATTGTATTACACTTAGGTTTTCAGACTTCCTATTTATTAAACTACTAGCAAGGAAATCTTAAAAGCAATAATTGTCTTATCATTTTGAATGTCACTGTAGAATGACATTATATAAACGACCCATGGTGCAAGGAACTGATAGAAACCTGGTTATTTGAACATAGTCTGGGAAATGGTTTAGGTATTTTGACAAAAATTTTAAGATGTATCAAAAGTCAGTTTTTCATAGTCATACTATATATTTAGAACTTATATTTTAAATATAAGAAAAAATCTGAACTTGTTTTAGAGAGCACTATAACAAGCAAATTATTATGAGAAATTCTATTAAATAATAAAACATTAAATAATTGAGATGTATTCTGGATAGTAAAAACGTAAGTAGTTGTAGTAAGACATTCTGTGTGTAAGAATCTATGCAAAGGTTACTCATTTTGCGTTATATGTGAGTTAAATTAAGAATCATTGACATCTTTTTAAAAGTGAAAAAATGGCAATATTAGGTATACACAAAGGAGTTTATATACTCTAAGGTAAACTAATGCTATTCATAACTTATTAGAAATACTGTAAAACAGACTGATTCCTCTTCAGAGAACAAATATGTACTTTAAATGGTGGTTATGAAAATAAATATTGCAATATAAACTGTAATTCAAATAATTAAAAATTCTGTATTTTGCAATTTTATAAGAAGCCTCCTTTATTTTGAAATTAAAAATGAAAAATAAACTTTTATCCATAGAATTTGTGAATGATAGAACTTTAGTGACTTATTTTCATAACGCATATAACAACAGTAAGTAAGAAAATAGTAACGCTTATAAGAAGCCATATTTGACTTAAAATATTGAGACTGCTAAAAAATAATGATTTAATTTACTTTTTAAGTAATCGTTATTGAGACAGTTATGTTTCTTCCTGGAATAAGTTAAGCTTGTTTTGTTTTGTTTTGTTTTTGAGAACCTAGAAAATCACCTTATCTGCCTTGTTCAGTTTGATACTTATCTTTATTAATAAGAAGATTGACAGCCTAAAAAGTCTTTTAAGTTTTCAATTTGAAAACGAGTTTCATATATTTTAAATACTCAAAGTATAATTGCTTAGAGTGGAAAAAGAACTATCAAAAATAGTTTGTTAAAGTAAGAAGACTTATTGTGACATAACTCTCTCTGTGTCTTATTTGTTTATTTCTATGGCATTAGTACAGGGATTCTAACCTTAGGGAAGGCCCTGGACAGGGAAAGCACGGATCGCTACATTCTGATTGTCACAGCTTCAGATGGCAGGCCAGATGGGGTGAGTATATTCACTGAGAAATGATTCCAGTATAGCATTAAAGAAATTTAAGTTCATCTCATTGTATGTGTTTTATCATGAATTAAAATTTTTTCTCCTGAAGCAAATTATAATTAGCAGAATTTCTCTTTTCTCCAATGGAGTCTTTTAAATGCGCTTACAGCGTGAACCTGCTACTATGTCCCAATCTTTGACTGACAGAGCAGGTGTCTGTGATCACCATTCTTGCCCAACTTACATGGTGAATGAAAACTGCTTTAGCAAGTATTTCATTCCGTCAGTGCAGCAGGCTTATGAAATGTGTTCTGGCAGCTCTACTGGCTGGATCTCTTTCTTTTATCAACTCTTTTGCAGAGGCAGGGGTGGAGATAGGTTTTTGTGGTTTAAATATTGAAATACCTATGAAACAAAATGGATTGACTCCACAGGTATTTGTATCACTTAGTGTCCTGAGTGATCATGATGATCTCAATATTGTAAAGGCCTCATAATTTTTCTAACAAAATAAGTTTTCAGAGTTAATAAATTATTTAATCCTTCTGTTTTGTTTTCAGTGCTAATAATCAAACATCATAGCATACACAAGCTAAGCAAGCATTTCCGACACTGAACTGTTTCCTCCACTGAAATCTGTTGTCTGTGTTCTTCAGACTAGTTCATAAACATGTTCACAAATATGTTCACAAACATCACACCTTGATTTCTGAGTGTTGTAGATCAATTATAGGTGATTGTTTTTCTTACTATTCCCATTCCTTTAATGGAATAGTTGTTTTGTTCATTTTCTGTAGTCAAATGCTTGTGTGCCAACTGCCTTGTCTGCACTACTGCCTGGAAATAACTTGAAAACTACACTGTATTAATAAGCAAAACTCACCAGAATCATGTAATAACACACTGGTTTTAGTTGGAATGACTCTTTGGACCTATATGGTACCTTAGCTAGGGTCGTAAAAGAATGCTCTCCTCACATTTACCTGAGAATCTAAGAAACATTTACCATGTATAAGACATATAACTTGATATTTGGGTAACTTTATACTTAGTTACAACTGACAGAAGATGAGGATAAATACTTAATCTTATAATCTGCCCATAATTATTTGTGTCATTTTTTACAAATTGGATAAAGTGTTAGTCAGGAAATAAAGTATGTAGAATATTTTTAGGAAATAATTAGACTTCGAAAAACCACTTAATTAAATCATTAATTAACTAATTTTTATATAGAATACGCTTTATTTTTATAGCATGCATGTGTTAGATACATTCACAGAACTCAGTGAGAGTCTCTATAAGTAAATAACAAAGAACTTGAACTACAATAAATGTTTAATGTGTAATTTGTATGGACAGCGATAGGGGAAATCTTTAAGGAAAGGTTAAATTATTTAACATAAAGTAAAAGTATAATAACAGTGAAGAGTGAATATTCAGATCCATTGGTATGTAAAAAGGATCTTACATAGCTTTGAGTTAGATCATATTGTAATTCAGAAACTGATGTCAAGGATATTAGCTGGGACATTTTAAAACTGGATTTAAAAAAACTATCAGACACGAGAAAAGATCAAAAGTAAATTGTATATTTAGATGCCAGGCATAGTCACAATACACTAACTACAGTATTGTTCATTCAAAATGCAAAATAAGTCCTGGGTAAAATAAGTGATTTCATCTCTGTCAGACACTTTTTAGTAGCATGTTGTGTACGCAGCTCTTCGCTAATTGTTGAAAGCCTTTGTTTTGTCATTTTTAATAAGTAGTAAGGTTTCTTTCAATTTAATAATCTACTCATACTGAGTAAATTTTATTTTTAAATGGTTGTATAAAAATATTAGTAAAGTTGTGGGGATGTATCTCACTGGTAAACACTTCCCTAGTATGCCTAAAGCTCTGAGTTCAATCCCCAGCTGTGCAAAAGGAAAAAAATAAATAGGTAAAACATTTAGAATTTAAAGAAACAAAGGTTCTTTGGGTAGCTTAGCCATTAATATAACTTTAGGAATATAGTTTTAGATGAATGTATACTTGAAGTAAAAATTCTAGAATAATTATCTCATATTTTGATAGGGTTCTTGGTATTTAAACATATAAAATTATGTTCTTGCTATAGTAGAATAGACAATTTAACATTAATATGCATGAGTTTTAAGGTGAATATTTAATGAGCACAAACCAGATGCAGTTGGATTTTACTTAAATCAAAATTGACTACTGGCATTTTTTGTGAAATAGACTGTCAGTGTAAATTTGAAAGTTTTATGATGAAAACCTACTTGACCTCTTACTTCTAAGTGGGAATAGGGCATAGGAGAGCAAACACTGTACATGTTATTAAGTTTTTGGAAAGAATAGTTTGAAAATTTTGTTTGAATATTCTATATTTTCCTCTTCCAAATTTTCCTTCATTAATAATAGTTTCAATCTTTATATGTTAAATAATTTTTAGTTTATTATTTATAAATATTTAGATTTATTTAGCTATGTTAACCAAGTCAGATAAAATTATGTGTTTGACTTGAATAATTGCTTATTTTTGTTTCTTGTTAAATTTGTTTCCAGTCTTTCTTTGTCATGGTATTTTTGTATTTTGGTTGAACACTTTGGTTGTTCTGAACACTTTATGTATAGGTTAATTTTTAAACACTTGCACTTTACCTATACATTTAGAGCGGTAGCTTGCTAGACATTTCCCCTATTCTATTTTTCACCAGCAAATTGCATGACTGCCAAGACTACCTGTAAAGAAACAGAATATCTGAATCTAGTAAGCTTAAATAATTAATCAAAAATCTCATAGCAAACATATGCCCTAGTTCTGTTTACTTCAACGATTAATTCTATCAAACATCAAACAACTAACACCAATTATTCTCAAACTCTTCCCAAAAGTAAAGAGGAGAGAACCCTACTCAACACATACTAGAGGCCGTCATCATCCGGATGCCACAACCAGACACAGATACTGAGAATTCTACAGACATTGTGCATCGTGAATGTTAACACAAATTGCTCAACACGATGAGTAAAGTAAATGCAGCAGTTTATTGACGTGATTTTACAACATTACCAACTGGAGTTTATTCCTGGAATGAAAAGCAGAGGTCTGGGGCTGGGGAGTTAGCTCAGCGGCATAAGCACCTGCCTTCAAGCAGGAGATCTTGAGTTCGATGCCCCATACCAATGATAAAAAAAAAAAAAAAAAAATGAGGTCCTCGGTCCTTACCCAAAACTTGATTTACATACTGAAATTATTAGCACCTGAGGATAGGATTTCCTGAGTTACACACTACCACCACTGTGCATGTGTGTGCAAGGCACAACTTTTACACAGAGAAACTACACAAGCCTCCTCCTCTCATTACTTTTCTACTATTTCTACACTTGGCTCTCACATATTTTCTCTGGAGTCTTTTCTGTTTTTAACCTCAGTGCTGGCAGTTGAATCCAGGGCCTTTAGAGTGAATTGCACTTTAAACCCTTTAATCCTTCAGCCTCCTTCTCAAAATGCTGAGATTATAGGCATGCACCACCATGCCTGTCTTTTCCGAGGTCTTAGAAGCTCCAGAAGAATATTGGTATTTCACTCAAATTTCTCTTTTTCCCATTACAGACCTTCCTCTTTCCCAGTGTGTTCCTGGAGTGTCTCTTCTCTTAAAATACAGCCCAACTGGCTCAAGACCAAGTCCTTCACATTCAATCCCCATCTGTCTCTGGCTCCTTTTTTCTCCCCATATCCCTTTAAAAAGACGTACCTTTCTCTCTTTCTCTGAAAGGCCCTTTCTGAAAGACAGCTCAGCTTTTTCTAGATTGTGAAAGAAACTCTATCAAATGCATAAGGCTGTCTTGATTCTTGACATTACAGCTACAAGATTACCGACTTTAGTTATCAATAAAAATACTTCAGCTTAGCATTATCTAAATAGTATGACCCTGATACATCATCTAAATCGTGTGCCTGTGGCGCAAAACATACATATCTTCCTTCGTATAGTGACTTAACATTAAAAAAGTTATTAAAGCTGATACAGTATATTGCAATTATCCCAAATTTTAATATATCTATTTAATTGAAAGAAATTTTATTTGTACTACAGAGGAACTTTGACTTCAAAAGGCTTTTTTTTTTTTTTTTTTTTTTGCTTTTTTCTACTTTCTTTTAGGTAAAACTGTCAATATTCCTTGAAATTTTATCTGTTTATGAGAAGGTAGAAAATAATTTATTTTCAAAAGAATTAAAAATATTTTAAAATAAAAAAGTAATCTGAAAGCACTCATATTCTTTTCTTGACACTCATTGATGATCTGCCTTTTGGGCAAAAATAATAGACACTCTTTTTGAATATCAAGGAACACACTTACGGAGAAAAGTAGTGTCTGCCTTTCTGTCACATAATTGTAACCCGTTATATCCATAATCGTGATCACACTCTGAGAAGTTAACCATGACAAGGAGTAGCTCAGAGACAGAAGGCTTGCTTAATATGTACAAGACTTTGGGTTCAAATTACAACAACAACAACTAATAATAATAATATTTATTTTAATAATAGCAGAATATACCCTAATTAACTTCTTAACATCAAGACTATTTTTACTGATTTATTGAGATAGCAAAGAATATTATTTCTCTGCAGGTTTAGCTCATCTGGAACTTTATAAAAAAGCAATTGTACCTTTAAAATGAAATTTTTTTTATTTAAAAAAGGAATGATTGAAGTAAAGTAGTATCATTTCTCTGAAACTGATTTTTGCTTCCTTAGTAAAAACATGAAAATAATTCTCATTTGATTCCTATAGTGACTACGTATCTCTGGTCAGATAACTTTTGAACGTACATGCATCTTAATGAATTTCAGTTATCAAATACAAACAAAACAACACAGAACAAATAAGTATACTATGGAAATATTATTTCCTGCTTATTGTAAGTTTAATAAATTTCAAGGCAAAATCAAATGGTTAAACGATAAAAATTTAAAGATTTTCTATTAAGTACAAACTGATGGCACTTCTTTTATCTTTCTAGGCAATACCTCCAAAATTGTTTAGTAAATTTTATTGTTATACTCTTTTTTAAAATTCCCATTAAGTTGAGTAATAAGAAAAAGTTTTTAAAAGACTCATTAAATTAGTATTTTTTGTTTTTAAGTTGATTTCTCTTTAAACAGAGGCTAACTTAAGTGACATTATTTGTATGAGGAAGAAAAAATCTTATAAGTCATTTTGTAAAAACTAGTATGCTCAAGTCCTTTGGAAAAATTTTAAGAGCCAGGCATGGTGGTGCATGCCTGTAATCCCAGCACTTGGGAGGTTGAAGCAGGAGACTGTTGCAAGTTTGAGACCAGCCTGGGCTACAAAGTGAGTTCAAGGCGAGCCCAAACTGCATAGCGAGACCTTGTCTCAAAAGAAAAAATAAATAAATAAAAATAAAAATAAAAATAAGAAAGAAATGTTTAGCCAAATATTTAATTAGTAATGTTTTCTTTATATCTTTAATTATCTGCATGAGTTTAATTTATTTTGGTGCTTCACGTATTTATATATTTGTTAAATTTGGAATGACTGAGGTAGGTCTTTTAAAAATTCTTATTTTATAAAGTATTAATAATAGAAGACATCCTAAAGATGAAATTCAAAGTCAGTGTTTTACAGATGGGGTGGAAGTTCACAAATGGTGGACTCGCTGAGCAGGGTGAGCAGCCGTTTGTGCAGCCAGAGCTCACCAGAGCTCCACGTTCATCAGCCTTTTCAACGTAGTCACCTCTTTTTTCTAAAGCAACCACGTTTTCATTGCTTATTGATTGGCACAATGTGATTGGCATAAAGTGAAAATCCTAAATAAACTGACTAAGCTGGAGTAACTTTCTATTTAACTCATATAATGGATTCTTGTAAATAGATATTTCTCTCCTTGCATCATTGAGGTAAGATACTGTCTAAATTATATGTTAATTAAAATACATTTGCTATCAACATTTAATAATGCAAAAAACATTGATGAAATTGGCTAAGTATGGTAAATAAAATTTTTTATGTTAGAAACTTTATTTTGGCCCCATAATTCTGTTTCACTTTTATTTTGGCTTTTACATTTCTTGTTATTTAGATAATACACAAGCATTGTGCATAAATATATACACTATGCATTTTACAGAATTTTTTATGGGTATTGTTTCCAAATAAGTGGTCTAATATTTTTTCATAAGCAGAATGACTATATTTTGTGAAATCTGGTCTCTCATCAATGAATACCATTATATACAAGTTATTTTCTGGTAAGATAGCATTTTTTAGAATATTACCTATTTATACAAATTAATTATATCAGTTTCCACATTGGCAAATATCAGTGGCCAACTACATTATTTCATTCTGTATTTTAAAAAAAATTATGAGAACATATTTTCATTTAGACCCACATCAATAGAAAATCCTCATCATACTTTTGTCTTTAACAATTAGACTATGAATACATTTTAAACCTTACTTACCTTATACGTCCAAGTAAGTTCCTAGTAATTTAACATATTTGATTGGTGATTAAAAAAATTCATAATTTAAAAGAACAGAAAATCATGAAATAACTGGTTTGTTCTTATGAGTTGAAAATATGCTTTGGTTCCATGAGTAAACACTGTTGTCATTAAGTATGAATTTTTATCTCACATTTTCATGCTACATTAAACCAAAGATCCTAATCAGTGTCTTCATTTCAGAGATGTACCACCTTATGAAAACAAATGTGTATTCAGACTACCTACTACCATAGAAATATCTAAGCCACTGATTAAGTTATATTTTGAGGACTCACTTTTTTATTTTGTACCAGGAATGAAATTCACCACCTCGTGCTCGCTAGGCAGGCGCTTATGCCACTTAACTAACTCCCCAGCCTGAGGATTTATCCTTGATTTAAATCTAAGTGCAACCTAAGGCAAAATTAAAATTTTCAATGATCACAAAATTAATAATTTACAATATGTAATACTGGAATACAATTATTTCCAGAATTCGCCTGTGGTATTTTAAACGACAGTAAAATTATTTCCTGTAGTCATTTGTAGTATTTAACATTTCAATTATCACCAATAGTAGAATTGGAAGTTGATGTAGTTTTTGAGAAGATAATCACTAGGCAAGTTTTTTCGATAAAAAGTAGATATAGCTTTTTTATCAGTTTTATTAATGTCTTTAATTAACATAAATTAATTTTTAAAATACTGCAAGTTTGTTAGGCTGACATATAGTCTTTTATCTTCTTTAAACTACAAATTTAAAAACTGAAAATCTTTTTTTAATAAATAGTATAAATATATCATGGGCCACAGAGTTATACTGAAGCAGTGTTGCCAATCTCCTGAATCCTTCTAAAACAGTTTACATAATCATGTTTTCCCGGTGCTCCATATGTATCATTTCTACAGATGCAAAATAATAGTCAATAGATTAATATGTAGCCAGAATATACACTTTTTATTGGTTATTCAATTGACTTTAATTCAAATGATCTTCAAATGTTTCAAGAAATGCATGTCAAAAATCATTGTGTATGTGTTCATGACTTTTGCATCTCATGTAAAATTCACCAAGAAATATTCCTAAATTGTACATAGATAGCAGCTTCTATTAGCACAAAATATGGACTTTTAAATTAACATTTTAGTGTATTTGGTGTGCAATTATCTGCTGTTACCCAAGCACAGATCATGTTCTGGTGGTGAATCAAGAATTGTCTGGAAATGTACTGCTCCCTGACATGAAGAAGGAAAAATTCTAAGATTAGAATGATAAAAAAAAAAAGTTCGGCGTCTTGGTAGGGAAAGCTGGATAGGGCGGCACAGAGAAGCCAAATGGTTTACAGAAAGCTAGCAGACTCTTCTGTGGTCCTTCCGATTTTTGCCTCAGGCCATCAATTTTAATGTTTTGTTCACCCTCGGGCACATTGTGAACTTCTGCAACTGTAAAAACGTCTTTACTTTTGTTACTAGTTTAATATCTGACCTGAGTTTTAAAGAAATAACATCTTTTAAACCATTTTTTTCTGAAAAAAGCAATGTACTTTTCTTAAAGAATATTTGAAAAAATATAAATGTTAAACATGAAAATAAAATGCCATCTAATCAGATAGCATTTGAATTTCTTTATGGAGATATTTAGAATAGATGTATAAACACATATTTTGTATGTATACATCATTAATATTAAAGAATTTGATAAAAATATAACATGTAAACAGAGTCCAAAAATCATCACTATGTCTGTTAATAAATTGATAGACTAAATACACTTGTGTAACCACTAGTCATTACGATAAACAGCAATTAGTAAGCACTGAAAAGTCTGACCTTATGATTATCACAGTCCATGTTACATTTTCTCCACCAAAGGACCCTGTCCTGACATACATTACTATTGATTATAACTGTTTTTTAAAATTTATATAAATGAAATACAATTTGTACTATTTTGTATCAGAATTATTTGACTCAAATTTATTTATGTGGTCAGCAGTAGTTATTGTCTTGGTCATGTATACTGCACTGTGTGCAGAAAACACCATATAAATATCTACTATTGGTGGATATTTGGATTTTTTTTCTAGAATTTGGCTATATAATGCTCTTTAGAGGATCATTATGCACGTCTTTAAATAAAATTTTAATTGAATTTTAAATATTATAAATCATAAATCAGGAATGGCTATGTGAATTTTCACAGCAGTCCACTGTTTTACCCAGATAAAGAAATAATTCATTACCACGACCAAGCATTTCCCTGCTTTGCATAGTAATTTTTTAATTACTCATTATTTTGTATGAAAAAAACACAGAGACTTGGAATAAAATTATATTGTTTTAGAGAGGATTTACTTTAGTGTCTATTAACATAAGGGTGTTTCACCTTAATCTAATCAGTGTTGAATGTCAGGTTTAAATCTGAGGAAAACCTGGTCGTTTTGTCAGACATATTCTTTCACACAGTCCAGAATTTCAGTGATCCCAACAGAACGCATCTCTATATCAACCTTTTTTTTCTTGGAAAATTTTAACCACATCCTCGCCATGACATCCACAGACCTCTTTAAAATCACCCAGCCTTACTCAGTTCTTTATGTTCAGCTTTATAGTCTCCCTCCTAATTCTCTAGTCATCAGAAGGACTTATTCTTATTTTCTTCTTTTAAAAAAAGATTGGATAAATTTCTCATAGTTTTGTTGGTGTTCAGTCTTTGATTATAACCAACTCATTGGTTTGCATATTTTCTGGTTGCAGCAGAACAATTTTTAACTTTTAAGTAATATCACTTATTCGTATATTCACTAGATTACAATTGCAATTAGCTACATATTCATAAAGTAATAATTTTGCATGTGGAAAGTGTTCACCTTCTTTGTTGGAATGTAAACCTTGAAAATTACTAAGATAATAGTTACTAATATTAACTTATGACAATATTTATTTTTATGGCTTAGTATTTTATAAAGTATGTGTTTTGTTTTTAAATGATGAAAAATATAAGTGTAAAAGCTCTAATAATAGTATATTTCAGTTAGAAATTCAAGCTTGCAACCCATAAAATATAAATAAGATAAAGGTAAAATCATGTTCTAAAGCGTAAGCCTCCAAGAACTACTTGACATTTTCAAGATTGCTTGCTCTTTAGTGTCATTGTTTGTTTTTCCTGTTTGTTTTAGAAGTACAAAAATCATAGGCTGCTATGTCTTCTCCATTTTTTCTATTTTGGAATAAAAGACTGGGGATATAAATGAGGGACGTGTCATATAGTGAAAACACAATATGACCACTAAACAATTTTTAAAAAAATAGCTCCTCTTACATTTAATTTTTTTTTTTTTTTTCTTCAAGACCTCAACTGCCACAGTAAATGTGGTAGTAACAGATGTCAATGATAATGCTCCGGTGTTTGATCCCTATCTGCCTAGAAATTTATCTGTGGTAGAGGAAGAAGCCAATGCCTTTGTGGGTCAAGTAAGGGTAAGTTGAATGCATATTCAAAATGCAATACATATATAATACATAAAAATGTACACCTATATACATAAATATAAATCATATACATATAAATTTATATATATTTTAAAGTACAGAATTTCTTATATTTTAATTTTGAAAAGAAATAAAGCTGTTATATGCCTGCTGAATATACTTCAAAATGTTATATGCCATGCAGGTTTAATTTATTAAGCATCATGATTATATTTTATTATTTAATTTAAATATTAATTAGGTTAGTATTTAACTTACATTGGTTATTCTTTTTTTTATACATGGTTTTCTTTTTTAGAGAGCTATATAATTAAATAGACCATCAGGTCTGGATATAGACATATGTAAATCTAGATGTGAACTTGTATGATTTTTTCATATATATCTTTAACATCGGTGTGGCCTATTTTTCATGCATACTTTTTGGTTAACATTCTCAGCCTTCATTTGCAAATATGTTCTTCTGATTCCTGTGTGGATGTATTAGACAGTTTCTGATGTTCCTTTAGTGAATAATGTTCTTTCCATTTAAACATAAGTCATTGCTTCTTTAGTTGGACCATGCTTGGTCTTGAACATAGAAGCGCAAGTATTTTGAAGAATCTCCCTTAGAAGAGACATCTGCATGGTCTTAAGTAATACTTGTCAGCTTTGCAATACTAGCATGACATACCTGAGGCAACTAACTTTATAAAAGGGAAGAATTCATTTGCTCAGCATTTTGTAGGTTCAAGTTCCAGCATCATTTATATGGTCCTCTAGTGAAGGGAATACATCATGGTAGGGTTAATAGCAGCACAAACCATTCATATGTGGGCCAGTAACAAACAGAAAGTGAGAGACTAATGTCCAGCTCATTTTTGAAGCTTATCATCAGTGACCTAATGATATCCCACCAGACCCAGTTTCTTAAAGGTTCCATCACCTGCTAATAGTGCTACTCTCAGAAAAAATTCTTCAACACTTGAACCTTTAGGGAACATCCATCTAAGCCAGAACACAGGAAATAATTCTTCTGTGTGAAAGAAGCATAAGCTACACATTTGGGATTTGTATCGCAAATCCAAGTTTGAGGGCCCTGATTTTCACCTGATAAATGTCTTCACTTTTTCACGGAAAGCTTACGGGTGCTTCTTCAGTGAAGTTTTCCTGTATTTCTGCTACTCTTACAATCTACCTGAAGATCTCGATTGTAATCCATTCTTTTCAGGCTGCAGAAGTTGAATCTTTCTTTAAATACCATCACAGAGCTCAAGGCTTTCAAATCATGTCTTGAGATTTTCTTTTGCTAATTTGAGATGTTTCCTTTTTTCCTTTTAGTGAACTGACGGTGCTTACAGCAGCAGTCACCTCAATAGTGATTGTCCTTGTCATTCTCTTTTGACTATTTTAAATCTTGTACATATTTCATTTTAAAAATCCTCTTCACTTCAAGCCACCTCAGTTCTCCTTAGAAAAAATATGTACCATCAGGATGTTACATGAGGCTGTGGTTTCTTGTTGCTAACTGACCAGCAAGCAATTAAAATTTAGAAGTTTCACCAAGGGAAAATGTTGAGAAAAAAGATTCTGGTACAGTTCTTTTGAGACCTTCAGATAACGTTAAGAGGTAATTAAGTTATTAAGCCACAGTAGGGAAAGAAGAAAGGTAAGGGAGAAATTAAGCAGGAGAAAATTCACCTATCAAAGCAATTGCCCTTATACCAGCTGTCACAGAACAAGAACCCAATCTCAAGGGTGAACTCAATGAAAAGATATAAGATCATGGCCCAACATGATCCCTCTTGAAAAGCGATTGAAATGAACAATTCAGAGACATTCTTTTTCAACAAATGCTGTGAGACAGGTTGGCAAATTTTGGCCTTTAATTTATTCATCACAAGTGAGTAGAAAAATTCTAATGTAGGAAAATTCCTTAAGGGGGGCAGTTAATCAGATGCTAACTGCTAGAGTTTGGGTCAGGACATAACAAGATTCTCTGAGGGATGTGAGTGGGTACTGATACTATCTCGTCTATCAAGTAAATAATATGACAAAACTACTCCAGGGCATGTATAAAATGATAGGAGAGGAAGTGATTCTAAAATTGGCTCATAAACATTGAATACTAATAATAGGCAAGTTGGGAATGGTTGGAGATTGTTTAGAGAAAATGAAAAGAAAAAAATAAAGGAATAGAGAAATAAAAAATGACAATGCCACATCATTAAAAATTCATACCATATTTTATAAATGGTATGAAATAGAAATAGGACTCATGAGTAGTCTGAGCTTAGCAAAATTAGACTTGTATATTATAAAGAATATTCCTAGCAATCTAGCTGAAACATAATATCCCGATAATGTGTGACTTACACTACTTATATTAATGATTAATTCAGTTAGTAAGTCTTTAATGCTCTGTTTTTGAAAAGACAAGTTCTTTTAGTCTATACAGGTACTTGTATTAAACAAACAAACATTGAAATCATTTATGAAAATTATCTTTCCCATTTTCTTAATTTATTTACAATTTAGAATATATCATTATGTGGTATGTATAATTAAAAATCTAAATAAATAAGATTAACTATTAGTCATCTTTTCTTATTTTTAGCACTTTTTCTAGTGATTTTTGTTTCTAAAAACTTAACCTATTTCCTTTTTTTATTAATTTTGTGTTCTTACATTAGATGACTAACGATCTCCAAAATATATTTCAGTATTTATTGGAAATTGACTCACAATTTGATACATTGTCATCGTTCTATTCTTTAGGCAATAATACATTTTCGAAACCTTTATAAGATTTTAATTCATGATTTGAAACAAAGAGGAAAATATCCAAAGCAGGCTGCATCCAGCTGATTCTGCAGTTTCACAGAATCTATAATGTTCTTAAAATGGAATTTTGATGAATCATAATGGTCTCCTGTTGCTACCTAATGATAATTATGTAATACATTAATTTCACTAAATGACTCATACTCCTCTTGTAAAACATAATTTTAATTGTCACCAAAACTATTAAGACACACTTAAAACCAAGTTACATATGCTTAATTATTGTACTGAATTTGAATTATTGGTTTGTGTTTTTGTTCTAATGATATTTTAATGTGAATAATCCAATATTTGTGTTCAAAAGCCAAAGGAAATTTTAATTTACTTTTTAAGGTAGCCTTGTAGTAATAAAACTTATTTACCGAAGAGTAATTATGAAGCAAGATTAAGTATATAGATTATATGCAGCACCTTCCAGCTTAGTAAAAAGTAAACTTCTAACTCTAAGTATTTCATAAAGCTCTTATTATTCAGAAAGTTCAGTATGCCAAAATTAGAATTAAAAAGTTTATCAATATTTTCAAAGACCTTGCAGTAGCAGAATTGTAAAAACTAAACATTGTGCCCAGAATGAAACCTAATGAACACAGAAAGAATATGCCCTATGTCATGTCAAAGGAGTGATATAAATTATTGACTGAAAGTTCTACGAGAGGTTGCAGTGAACAAAGGTGGCCAGGACAGTGTACATGGGAAAATATCAGTCTCAGTTCTTTGTGACCTAAGTAGTGACATTCTTGGTTTGGAAAACACAGAAAAAAGAAATATACCAGTCACAAAGAGGTGATACACAATGAGACTGAGACAGAGACACAGTTTGAAGACACCAGCCCAGCAGTCTGACAACAATGGAAAATTTATTTGAAGTTGTTCTGAAAAAAAATTATAGAAACTTGTTGAATTCAGAGAGTCTTATTCAATAGTGACTGAGGCAAAGAGTTTAAATGTATAGTTTTTGGTTTGGAGTCTTTCACAATATTTTCTGGAAAGACCAGGAGGATTTGGATTCTTATCCTGACAGGACCATAAGCATGCCATTAATTCATCTTCAGAATACGTCCCAGAAACAAAATGCTTCATGCAGGCTGCTGTAGATTTGTGGTGATACCAGAAGATAATTCCAACTAGTCTGTAACTTTGGTTTAGGTCTCCTCAAGCCTAGCTTAAAGGACCAGATTTTTGTTAATTTGTGAGATATACCACAGCAGTAAGTACATTATACAACCTCTGCAAAGGGAAACTGAGCCTTGCATAGACTGTTTCTATGACACTAGAAACAGTGTCCAGATTTACATTCACCTTTTATTTAAATTTTTTGTGTGACTTCTAGACTCACCAAACTGGAAACTCAGACTTCTCATCTTACCTGCTCGCTCTTATTAATGCTAATGCTTTTGTGTGGGTGTCTGTGTGTGTGTGTGTGTGTGTGTGTGTGTGTGTGTGTGTGTGTTAGTGAAAGCTCCATTTCCTTGCCTCTCGGTTATCATTGCACTAGATCATACAGCTCTGTGATTCCACATCTAGTATCACAACAATATACAGAACTTTATGAAGAGTGAAAGCATGGGTTCTGTATACATTTTGAGTTCAAATCTAACTTACCAAAATGATTAATGTGATCTCAAATAAGGAATGTAGCCTCTCTGGTTTTGGGCTCCATTATCAGCAAAATAGGAATAATAGAATTTGTGTAGTGACTGAAGGCATTATGAGCTTGTAATATATGTACCCACTGAGCATAGGAGAGTGAATTTGTTCTTTTACTTCAGCATACTTTGCCACTCTAGTCACTTCAGTGATTCTTTGAGTGTTTATGTGACAGGAGCGGATGCTAGGAGAGCATCGCACGAGGAGGAAGCCTTTCAGTTCATACGGCACCTTACTGAAGATTTTATAAAGGGCTTCTATTCTCCAGATTTAGGAATAATTTCTCATCTTCATTTTTCACAGTAATGCAGGCATAAAAACAAATCAAACAGAAGACGCATACTTGGGAACAATATTATACATTAAGTTTTAATAAGGTTAATTTTCATGCTGAATTAATCGATTCCTTTTAGCCACGGGTAAAAAAAAATATTCTCTGAGTTCTAAAAAAAAGGAGGCTGAAATTATTTAACCTGAAACACAAGTATTTTCTATATGTGAGATATGCGTCTTAAATC